AAGAAAACACTATTGCATTGTCTTATTTCAAGAGCATATTATCTAATTATCTTATTTTAAGAGTAAAATTACTCATTCCATTGACATTAACCTAAAGGGTGAATACACTTAAATAAGGACATTTTTACTTATTTCTAGATCGTTTTTGCAGTGTGTTCTTGTTTGACAATATCCCTTTTTATTTCCAACAAGCTCAATTACCTAACACATTGCTTATGTTAGAAATAGACATGAGATCATAAATTCTTGATTAACTTTGTGAAACAGATTATTTGCACGGAGTGCCACATTCATAAAAACCCCTCTGAATGAAGATTCCTTGGAGTTACACACGTGAATCCCCAGTGGAGGTTGGGTTTGCTGTTGCACAGGAGTTGACTGAGCTGCTCAGTCGATCACCGAACACTGTGCTGCCTTTTGTGGCTCAGAGACAATGGGCCGCTGCTGGGGAGCGAGACGGGCAACCTGAACCTGACACAGGAAGCTCTTAAAGCTACACAAAACAAACTGCTGAGCTCTGGCATTTCCCCCTCCTGAAAGACTATCTCAACCATCATTAAAGGTGAACTCAGTCGTCTAATCTCCTCCAAAGACACAGAGCAACCATGGCTGCTCAACCCTCCTCTGTTTCTCCTTGCCCCCTCCTTCTCACTGTGGAGCCCATCAATGAAATGCCATTAGATCTCCTGGGGGTTAGAGGTCATAGGACAAAAATGTTGTGTTGACTGTGCATGGTGGCAGTCTGAGCGGAAAAGCTGGGAGGTTATAATCAATGCAGAATTGTTCAGGTTTGTAAATGAACACACCTTTAGGTTTGAAGTCGTTGGGAAATCATATTTAAATGTCAAATCATTCTGGCTTAAACATGTATATGAATGTCCTCTTTATCAGACTATATGGTCCCAAAATGTAGAAAATTTCTATGTAAAAATAAAAGAATCCTGTCTTAAAATCTGTGTTTCTTTTTCATTATCTTCTGCAGGCCAGTTAGTTGTACGTCAGCTTGTACGTCTAAATTCGGCCAATCATATATCAATGGTCATCTGTCAATCAAAATGTTTTAGTTCAAAGCATCTTGATTAATATGTCGTGTTAGGATAATTATCATTGAAGATGTGTGAGTTTATTACACCCTGGTATGGGCTGCCTGTTGAGTGTCAAAACTGATGTTTTAATCTAATAAAGACAGTTCCTCTGTCCAGATATACAGTTATAATCTTCATTTTGTATGTGCAAAAGATTTGGAAATGGAATGAGAGCGGTGTCCTTCAGCTAAGAACAAGGTGTAATATTTTGAATGTCGTGCACCACTCGGGAGAATTCAGAAATGCAACAGTTGGAACGGCCGTTTCCCTACGGCTTTAAGCAAATCAGCTTCTTGATGGTTTGTCATAATCCCTGAGATAAACTCAGAGGCTAACATTTGTTTTTACAAAACAGACAAAATATAAAATTTTTATAGAACTAAACTGTGTTTTTCTTACCTGACGAACAGTTAGAAGATCAAAATCTCAAAGTAATATTTAGAGAATGACGTTTATATTTAGTTCTTTGAAAATCTGAAAAGCCATTCATATCCTACCAAAAAAGCAGGCATATAAATCATTGGTGTTATGATACTGAATAACAAAGCAACAGGCCGAAGGAAAACCAACACAGCGGCGTCCGAGCTTCACTGCAGAGAATCTAATGAAAACACTGAGGGCGGACATGCACACATCTACGCATTCAAACACATCACATTCAGCGCTACTTGTACGCATTATTTTAATGTCATCTGCATCCAGTGAAGGCCATTTGCACCTCACCAATAATATGCTTCCAGCAATACAAATAGCACTCTTTGGAATTCAATTATGTTTCTTCTTTTTAGCTTTTTTTCTCCCCCCTGTCCCATTTTTTATTCAGGCATTCTGAAAAGGCCTATCTCCTCCCTCAGCCAGCTATGATTGAGCAAAGATGGAAAAATTGCATTCTTGCCTCCTATTATAGTATTAGAATCTGCTCTGGCTACAGTGCATACCGCCTCATTACCTTGGTAAAAAAATCCACCTTAACCTCCATTACAACCCGGCCATGTAATTAATGCCTTTTTAAGCTACTGAACCAAAAGCAATTAGGTTATAAAAGAGAGCTTGTTCAATACAATGAATACATTACATTATTAGTTGCATCTTTAAGGAGGGGATGATGACCATATGTAAGAGATTTTGAGATTAAGATACTAGTATTTCCAAATTCTTTAAATTGTCACTTCTTTTCTGATAAAAAAAAAATCACAAATCCAGCGTTTTTAGACTGTATAACGTAAGTTCTCTTTGGTTTCACTTCATCTATGTGCTTTGCTCTGTTTAAATACAAATGTGTTGTAAAAGTCTCTGCTGACTAGATAATTTACCACTGAAATGAAAATTTTTGCATTTAGAATGGCATAATCAGATATTTTGCACTTGAAATAAGAAGAGCTGTTTTATTTTTTATTTCAAGTATATATCATTGTATTACAAAACTGTATTATTATTATTATTATTATTATTATTATTATTATTATTATTATTATTATTGTATAATAATCGTATTACAAATTGTCTTGCTTAGTTGTCTAAAACAAGGGGAAATTTAGAACACAATTTAAAAAGGATGCAATTCATTTACAAAACTTTGGAAAAATAAAATCTATATAAAAAGAAAGCTTAAAAAAATATATATAATATAAAAATCTAAAAAAATAATATAAAACAGAAAACTTTGAAAACATTTTATGATTAAAAGTTATTAAAATTGTCATTTGTTTTTTACTTTTTTTTACATCTCCGTTTGCTTGCTAATGGAACAAACCCCCCCACCCCCCCATAACTAATTTACACAAACATGAATATTTCTGCATCGTCCTGTACATTACATTCATGCTGCTCCTACATTGACAAAGGAACCAAACATATATATTTTCTCTGGTTTAAAGCAACTTGCAGCGATAGAACTGTCCAAACAGCACATTGGAGTTCTACAAAAACGTAAGTATAGTTAGGTTTTTTCTCCTTGAAATGAGTGTATTTTCCCTTTATTTGCACAGATGAGTAATAAAATGTTCTATGTAATAAGATAACTTACAACCTGATTATCTTAATTCAACAAAATAGTCTCTGGTTATTTTACTTAAACCGCAAATTTCTCCATCCATTGAAAATTTCTTATCTATATTCTTATTAGCACATTTTCAGGACAATTTTAGTTATTTTTAGATCAGTTCAGCAGTGTTTATACCTTTTCCATTATAATTATAGTTGTACAACATAAGGAACAACAGGAGTATGTACTTAGTTACAGGGCTGGACTTAATGTCTGTTTCTGTCATTGAAACTTTAGATGAGCTTTACAATCTGACTACCTTTTTAGTTTTGAGCCAGACTCGCACAAGAACGTGGAGGAAAAAGGGAAAAGACACTTCAGCTACGTGTCATCCATGGTGAGATTGTCCTTTTTTATTAAGTTAGACAGTTCAGTTTAACATCTACAGTATTCTATAAAAAATATTTGTTGATGTTAAATATATATTTATAATGATAATTCCTAAAAACACCAACATTATCTCAGGCTTTTTTTTTATTTTTATAAAAAAGTTGTTTCCTCCAATTTTCTAAGACCACCCCAGTCCTTACTGGCGGGCCCTTAGTGGGCCCCAGCCCCAACTTTGCAAACCACTAAGCAAGCCACACCAATTCATTTAAAAAAAAATGATGAGTCAAACCAACTATGTTTGTATGATGAGTTTAATTTCACAATCTACAATCAGACCTTAGAACTGCCTGAAGTCCTCAATTCCTCTCAGACTAAACATGTCTGACACCATTAAATAGGCTTAAACCTCTCAAAATAAACACATGATCCCAAGTACACAGCTTTTTAAACCGATCTGTGTGGAAAAGGTTGGCGGGCCATTTCTGTGGATCTGAGGCTCCAGTGAACCACACTGGCATATGTTTGGAGGACAACTATAGAGGAAACATACAACAATGGCGAACATTATAAAGAATGGTGAAGCTGGTCTTATTAGCAGGGGACAGAATCAGTCCAGGCTGCACGGTGGGTCAGAAAATCAGATTTCAGCATGCAGTCTAAGGCTATGTTCAAGTGACCCAAATCCGATTTTTTTGGCCCAAATGTGACCTTTATCTGATCTTTTCATGGCTGTCTGAACAACACAGACCCGATTTTTTCCGATGTCACCCAGGCCACTTGGCTATGTGGTCCTGAATCCGATACGACAACGATCTTTACAAATGCGACCTGCGTCTGAACGACCAGCTAGCATTCATCCGAACTGAAAGCCATTAAAGGCACACTATGCATTTTTCAGTTAATTAATGTGTTCCATAACGTTTTGGATGATTAAATGAGTCATTTCAGGTTGAACAAAGGTATTCTTGGCCGCCCTGGTGGTCTGTAGGGGAAATACCGCACTTGCAATTGCAGGAGCCCTTGGCCCGCACCCACAGGCTCAGAAGTCTCGCGAGAGTCGGTCTTGCTTTACGGCGAGAACTGCTACACCCCCCAGTTAAAAGCATGCTCGTTGCTAGCACAGTGGCGATCTTTGTGCAGTTATAATGGCGGAACCAGCGTGAAAACAGCGAAAGCCCATGTCGGAGCAGGCAAGAAAGAGGAAAAGGGCTCCGGACAGAGAGAGGAGTCGTACACGGGTGAACATCGGGCAAGCTTTTTCCGAATGGCGAGAGCTAAAATAAAAAGAAGGGTGTAAGGCTGACGCGGACCTCGCGTTTCTGCTGATGCGATTGTAAGTAACATTGGAATGGTTTCTCTCTCTCTGTGTGCATGTTCATACTTTCACTGTGTTAGTCATTCGTTGCGTTCGCCTGCTCAAAACAACCGCGCCTGGCTTGACAGAGAAACCAGGAGAACAGCTGTGCATATTTACAACAGTGCACTTTTACTTTCGCCCTCTGGGGGGAGCCTCGCTGGAAAATCAACACCGGTTGCATAAGCCCCATTTACACTACCCTTGAAAAACCGATCCAGGCCGAGACCGGTCCGAGCTTGGATCGGTAACCAGGCCAAGCTCAGTTTTGACGACCGTTCACACGTCACACTTATCTCGGTTATCTCGACTCCTTGACTCCTCGCCTCCTAGTGACGATGTGAGGTATTACTGCTAGGATTGAAGGAGGGACTCAAGCAGCTGGTGGCGGTAATGCACCAAACGCTGTTTGTCAACCGCCGTAAAACCCAAGAAGAAGAAGACGAAGGAGGAGGGAATCAAGCAAATCAAAATGGCGGCGCCCGTCACATTCAGAAAGTTATGCTTGATTATTATTGCTGTACTTCCGTGTTTGCGGTGGGTCAGGCGAAGACGGCAACCTTGCGCGGATGTACTTGAGAAAGTCGGCTTTTGGGAAGCCGACTTTCTGGAATGGAGTGTGAATCGGCATGTTCAGCCAGTCGGCGATGACGCGTTCTGCTCATGCGCTCTTGTTATCAGAGAACCGAGCCAGGATAAAACCGAGCCGAACCCACCTCGGGAACTGGTCTGCAGTTAGCGCGGTCCGGTTATGTCTATCTCGGTTCAGTTCAGGTTGTTTCCGTTCACACACGACAAGTTATCTCAGTTACTGAGCTCGGACCGGTCTCGGCTCAGTTTTTTAAAGGTAGTGTAAACGGGGTACTTGTGTACCTTTAATACCTGACAGTGGTCACTATTCTTGGTCTTTCTATGAAGAAGCGGCAAGAAAAAAAAAAACACCATGGCAGACGATGATGAGCAGTATTTATGTTTAACCATTTTGAAAAGATTGTGTTTTTATGGTTGGGAAAGATCGATAGATGCGCTCCAGCACCACCATCCATGTTTACTTCCATAAACACAGAGCACGCTGGCCCGTGATGTCATTGCGTCCTCTACTGCCCATGCGGGACGCTTGCGTTGTATGACTGCAGTTCACACAGGAGATCACATACAAGTTGCACATATTTGGAAATGTGAACGGCAACGCAAAAAAAATCGGATTTCACAAAAAATATCTCAATTGAGCATCAAGGCCTGCAGTGTGAACGTAGCCTAAGACCAGACTAATTCATGGGCAAAGGTAGAAGTAGGACAATGGCCTCCCCTGGCCAATAAGTGTTGACCTCAGCCAGATGATTTGTTTTTCCCTTTGGAATAAACTGTAAAACCTCCAGAACAAGCGATTCACCTCTAAAACAGAGCGATGCAGCAGAGAAACCATGGTGGAATGTGAGCTAACTTAAATTTTGAGCTGTTATAAAACTTTCAGGATTTCCAGGGACAGAGCCCCGCTGTACAACCGCTCAGACCGCCGGTGTATGGGGTTCTGACAGAAATAAAATTTGAAGGCAGGATCGTATCCTGGAAGAACTGACTGCAGAGATTAAATTTTCAGGTGGACTTTCTCAATTAAAACACATTAAAACGTCTTTTACCTGCTTATTACATTAAAAATATCAAAGCCACTCTCTGTCATTGAACAGCAGAAGCATCAGAAGCATCTGGACACACTTTACTGGATGTCTGACCTTTATGTGGAAGTTTGCTGCTTCCAGTACTTGCGGTCTGAATGTAGCATAAGTATATTATGAATACTGAAACCCAAAAACTGTGATAATTTACATTTTCACATAAAAATTGTCAATTCAGATAGGAAATAAACCAAATTTGTATTTTTTTAAAGAACTTGGTTCTGTGCTTTATAGCAAAGAACAGTAGTTTGAGTCTCATCAAGTAGTGTTCTATACAATACGTGACAATGAACCACTGCTCAACCCATTCAATGTGTATATTGTGAAGAACAATAAACAGTGTTGACAAAACACATGTGTAAATATGTGTAGATTTATTAGCGAGGGATTCATGAAAATCTGTTCTGTCTTTATTGACTTCATTGAACATTTTTGATGGTTCAAAAGCCAGAACTAAGGCTTTCAAGTGGCCTAATCAAAGTCCTGATGCAATGGCAGGACCTGAAACAGGTTGTCCTACATGTTACTGAATTAAAATTATTCTGTAAAAAGTGGGGCAGAATGTTAAAGGTATATAGGATGATCTTTTATTTCCGGGTGGAACATCTAAACCAGGCATCCCCAAACTCGGTCCTCGAGGCCCGCTGTCCTGCAGGTTTTAGAGGTTTCCTTGCTCCAGCACAGCTTTAATTAAAAGCTGATTTACAGGCTTTTGGTCTACTGCAATCATTATAACCAGCTGTGCTGAAGCAGAGAAGCCTCTAAAACCTGCAGGACAGGGGGCCTTGAGGACCGAGTTTGGGGATGCCTGATCTAAACAACAGGTCCTCCTAATTGTCAATCATTCTGGTGATACGTAGGCCCGTCTTACGTTCTCGTCCTGTTAGCTATCTTTTTCTGCGCATGCACACTTTCAGCTGCATAAGTGTGGTGACCTACGGTCTCAGACAGTCATTGAAAATCACCTTTTTCATGGCAGAGGGTCGTAAGAGAAAAAAAGTGTCTAGTAAGACTATTGAGAAGAAAAGAAAGGCAGATAGAAGCAGATATATCCCAGGATGCTTTGCGTGGAGGGCTTTTCTCGCAAAGCATTATGGGATTTCTGTCACAATGACCCGCAGCCAATAGGCTGCCGCTACCCGACAGCGGTGACTAATAACAAACATGACGCAGGCACGGCGCAGTGGAGTAGGAGTTATGTGACCAATGGAGCAAAAAGCTGTGATCATTTGTTTGAACGGTCAGTTAACCGAGTTCGCTATGAAGTCCCCTATTTGGGTCCCCACTGTCTCTGGACACAGTAAGCTTGCATGAACAATGAGAACAACAACTTTTAAACAGGGCGTGCACGAGGAGAAATGGGCTTGTGCACGCTCTTGCACACGCATGCAGGTGGAGAGGGTGGGTCTTTTAAAAAACCCTACATAATACCTTTAAAAGTGACTGTTTTTTAGGGTTTTAGAAATAATCTTAAATTTTACATACTTATGATTGTTTGGATAACTTTACAACCAAATAAAAAATGATCTTGATTTTAAAATTGCTTTCCACTATAAAAAATGTCTGATTTTTTTAATCAGTTTGATGATCTTTGACATTTTAATGTGAGTGAAGGGATTTTTGCCGGCAGCAGTTTTTCATTCTTTGCTTGTTTGTTTCCTTGTACGTTAAGCAGAAGAGAACTAAATAGAGCCAGCCTGTTCCTTCAGAACAGTATGCACTCAACAGATAAGGCTTCATATAATCTCTGTTTGTTGCAGACTTTATCTCATGTTTCTGAAGACGTACACAAAGTTAAAACATGTGGTCTACATTCTAATGCCTGGAGGGGTCAAGCTGAGCGGTCAACCTACACATTACTCTATGTCCAAGCAGGACAGGTTAGAACACACAAGATTAATGCTGCTGCTCATCCTAAAGGTGATCTGAGGATATTAATGTCGAACTTTATCTGAACCTGCATAAGGGTCCAGCCGCCTGCTTCTGTTTGCATGCGGACCAGTTTCCTGCAAACAGTTAAGCATTTTTTACCGGCTGCTGTTTAACAATCTGTGTGGGACACTTTGTGCTAACTACAACTACATGAGAAAAAGATCAGCAAAAGCAACTCATTGATATTTCTGTTGTAGTTTTGTAGCTCCAGACTGTAATCGAACGTCTGAGTATAATTAGTCAGGCTTGTGGGGAAAAAATCTGTTTTGGCTGATTGATCCAGCCAAATGTTTTGCTGTTGCTCATTATTCACCAGCTTGCAGGCTGCAAACCACTGCCTGACAATAACTCCAGCTAAAGCTCCATGAATTGATTAAAACCTGTTGAAAACAGTGAAACAAGATGTCAAGAATATAATTGCCCTAGCTGGATGACAAAAAATAAATTCAACTGACATTTTTGTTATGGTCAATTCGTCTAGCTTCACTTGTAAGTCGATCTTTTTCTTGGAAAATGGAGGCATATCTTGATCTTAAAAAGCTCTTCCTGAACTGTGAAAGCAAAATAATTTATATGCACTCTTTGACGATCTGCTTTGCGGGTACATACATGTTTGCACCTGTTTTAAGAAAAACCACCTGAAGATCAGGCCCTTTATGTTGATTTGAAATTATTTCATCAAAACCTTCATTAAAGTAGCTGGTTTCTATTACGTATATTTATTTAGAATTTATTTAATCTATGAATTTAGAAGCTGCAGTTGTGTAGCCTCGTGAGACCATCCTGATCTCGCGAACTTTCAAGATTTCACTCGCTAATCAGTCTGGAGACTCTCTGTTGAAGAAAATTTGGAGCCGTTCACCAAACGAACATCCAATCAGCGTTGGCTTTGAGGCGGGTTGAGGTGTGACGCAACGAGAAGCGCAACAGTTCAGTCTAAAGAACATGGCGGCTTCAGCCGATGAAACTAGCGTTAGCGTGGCTATCGAGCAAGTTTTATTGGAATTACAGAGTATTTCTTCACTGAAAGAAGAGCAAAACACTGCTCTGGAGGCTTTTCTCAGAGGAAAAGATGTTTTTGCTCTTCTCACGACTGGTTTCAGCAAGAGTTTGATCTATCAATTGGCTCCTCTTCGTCGTCGCTCTGTTAGTACGTCATATGCTTCGTTGATCTGATTGGTTTATTTGGCCCGTCTATCACCAACATAGGCCAATCAGCTAACCAGTATTTTCGCCCCTTCCCAAAATTACTTAAACCGAAGGTTTCCAGATGGATATACAGAGCAAATCCATCTGGTGGAGTCAGGTTAGAAGCACCTTAGAACTAAGCTAAGTTCTCTGTACTTAATATGGCGTTCATGAGGTAGAATGCTTTGTGACATTACACTTCTGAAACCCATCTACTGGTCTACATGGATGTTAGTGGTGACGTTTTATTGGTCAATTAATGTGTTAGGATAGAGCATTTGTATTTGGCTTGAGAAGAGAATGTAATCCATAAAATACAATTGCAATTTGAAAAATCAGCAATATAGAAATTTGATGATAGTAAAAATAATAAAATCTGTAAAAATATTTGGAAGAATAATGTTTGAAGAAAATAAATGTGAAAAAAATAGAAAAGAAATTATTGGAAAAATGCATTTATCAGAGAAAACAGCTTAGTTTTTCTGAAAGGCTTTTTATTTTCATTGTAAAGTTTGATAAAGTTTCATCTCTGGATTGCATTTTTTTAATTAACAATAATGCAAAAATATTTGGTCCATACTTCAACCAATTAAATTGTTCTATTCCTGATTTTTATATCATTAAGTCTATCACCAACATAGGCCAATCAGCTAACCAGTATTTTCGCCCCTTCCCAAAATTACTTAAACCGAAGGTTTCCAGATGGATATACAGAGCAAATCCATCTGGTGGAGTCAGGTTAGCAGTTGTGAGCTGTGACTAGAAAATACATTACTGTGAATAAATCTGTAAACTCTTAGTGGATTTCCCCTTTAGAATTAGTTAGAGTCTGCTCCGTAATTTTTCAAATATCAGGGATAATTATCTTTTTAAAGCAAAAGAGGTTTACCATAATGGTTTTAAATAATTTGACCAATTAACTTAATTAAGGCACGTTCAAGTTTTGAATTTAATTTTAAAATTCCCATGAAGTGCATCAGAAATGAGAAGCATTCTCTCCAAAAATGTCAAGTCTGTATTTAAAATGCATCCCATGACTTTTAAAAAACTCATTCTATTTTCAATGCCTTTTTTTTCCCGTTTAGAATTCATTATTTGCCATGAAATGTGAAAAGTCTTCTTCATTACATAGTGTGAAATCCCCCCCCTTCCTGCTTCTGCTCCTCTGAAGTCCAGCTAACCATATTAATCCCACAAGTGCAGACTCTGTGGCATCCCCCTCCCCTCCCTGGTAGATCCGCAGCCCTGCTGTCTAAATAATTGCCTCATTAGTTTGTGGCACACAGGTATGCCATAAATGCAAACTTTAGACAAGTGTGTATGCAAATCAAATTGCTTGTTGAACACTCTTTATTCATGTGATCAAAACTCAGCTGAATTATAGCTGAGACCTGAGCCCTGAAATGGAAATTTAAGGATAACTAATGCATTTTCAACGAGGTGAGCTGTGTGTAGGTAGTGGCTTGGTACAGATGATGTGCAAATAGCTGACAGCTTTCAGCTCTGGTGTCATTATATTTTATTTTTTATTTCTTTTTCATTAAAAAATGATTTATATCATATATAAACAAATTTCAAAACATGCCTGAGGCAAAAACAGCACCTTGTTGAAAAGAGCCTTCAAGAAGAAGAAGGTTGGCTCGGTACTTTCATGGAGAGCTGAGGCAGGAAGATTTATTCACCATAAGCAGAACAGCATTAAATTCGTGGGACAAATGGATATTTAGTCTTTACAAAGGTAGTTTTAGATTTATTTTCCAAAGGACAGATGCATAAAGCTGCATTCACACTGACTTAGTTGCGGTGAGTGAAATTATTTGGTTAATATGTCATCCATATTTAAAGGTTTGTTCAGGAGGGATTTTGCGGTTGGTGATGTGAAGGATACGTTTCCAACAATTCGAACGGCGCAAACTTGGCAATTAGAGTTAAGTGGTATGGTGAGAATCTTTTATTGTAATTTTGAATACAGAGAGTGTATACAAAATCTAATTTTGTTTAGTACAGCTTTTCAGACAGTAAATGAACATTTCCATTCCAGAAATTTCAGCAGTGATCAAATGTAAACAAGACGGGAGAAAAAATATGATACAAAAAGATGCATTGATATGGAAGTTCAGAGCATTAATATGTATGGTGCAAATATGTAGTACTTTTGGTTTGCTGTTATCAGTGAGATGCAGACTCTGTGACATGATTCAGAGACTTTTTTTTTAACAGTTCAGCTGTCTGATGGCGCTGGGGAAGGATCAAATGCTGCGAAGCCTCTTTTCAGGGAGGAGCAGAGAGAACAGTCCATGGTGGGGGTGTGAGGGGTCACTGATGATATTATGGGATATGCAGCGCTGGGATTAAATTTCTTTTATGGAAGGAAGAGGAGCCCCCATGATCTTCTCTGCAGTTCTCACTACTCTTCTCACTTTCTTCCAGTCTGAGACGCTGCAGCCTCCACATCACACAGTGAGACAGCTGGTCAGAACGCTCTCCATGGTGCTTCTGTAGAACGTAGTGAGGATAGGTGGGGGCAGGTGGGCTCTCTTCATCCCTCCCCAGGAAGTACAAGCGCTTTCGTGCCCTTTTTACCAGTGAGATGGTGTTTACAGCCTGAGTGAGGATGTCTGTGATATGCACCCCCAGGAATTTCGTGATGTTGACCACCTCTACAGCTGAGCTGTTGATGACCTGTGGAGCGTGGTTAGGCCGGTTCTTCCTGAAGTCCCTATAGTGCCACTTCACAACACATGTCATCTTAAGGCACTTTACAGAGACATTTCAACCAGATCATCAAGTTTTCTATCTAAAGAAAACCAGCTAATTGCATCATCTCATTTACCACAGGGGCGACAGTGGTGTTGCTTGACAACACACTGATAGTAGACATGTTGCATTTTGCTACAAACACCAAAATTAGATAGAATATCAGAGTGAGATTAGAGGCAAAAACAAGTGGATTAGAAAATTGTAAAACATAAGACAATTGATGATTTAAACATGCATGCATGCTTTACAGTTGTTGCTTTATTTAGCAATGACATCTGTGTTTGAAGAATATTTGAAAACAAACACTGTATTTTTAACAACACCAGAACAACAAAAGGAATAAGATTACAAATATGGAGAGTTACCCATATATAAAACAGCTGCACAGCAAAAGTAGGGCATAGACTTTGGTTGTGTTTACAAGGAGAGTGACTGAATCATTAACTGAGGAAGGCAAATAATGTGTTGATCTCCACAAATCACAGAAAAATTCAGGTTAATATATTCCATAGGATATATTACATAATATATTACATAAAGTAGACAGTAAAATCCCAGATCCCAGAGATGTAAGGCGACTGATGTCATCTCTTCCTCTGGATAGACCCAATTATACTGTAGAAGAATTTTGGTAAACCGACATTTCCCAAAATATAGATTCTAGGACACACAACATCCTTTATGCAAACTATTATAGGGAATACTTTGTCACGCTCACCAGCAGTGCAGGTAGAAATGACCAAAAGTCCCCATCAGCAAGAAAACGGACTGAAGAACTGTTTTCTTCCTGCCATCTTGAAAAGTGACAGGGGAAATTGTTGACATTTAGTTTCTCTTTTTGTTGTTTTGCTTTAGTAAGTTAATTAGTTTTTCTTTTCTCATCTTTATTCTGATGTTTAAATCATCCTGCTATGCTGCATTTAAACAGTCAGATGTTGATCAGTGTCCCTGCTAGAAACATGTTCTTTTCTTCTGTATCTTTACAATAAGAATGTGGATGCTTGATATGAGATCTGTACATAAAATATAGATTTAAAAGCCTTTTTTAAAACATAAAACCCAAAATAAATTTGAGCTTAAAAGAGACTTTAAATTATAAGAAGAGAAAAATACAAATCCTTAAACACTTTAGACTTAAACACTCAAAAAAGTTGGATCTTTTTAAGTTACTTTTATACCAAGCCCAGCAAAAACCAGATGTTGAGGACAAAAGAGAAATCTGTTCTAAGAACTATCCTTAAATTATAAAATCTGTTCTTAGTTTAATAATTCCTTGATCATGATTGTGTCATGTTGGTTTGTAGTTGTTTTTTTTGTTTTCCAAATTTATACGTCTTTAAATTATGCTGTTTGTAGATTTTTAGCTGTTTGTTTGGGCAGAATTGATCATGGAAGAAATAATTTTACTAGATTTTTATAACTAAATGAATCCAGGATATGAACTTTCTGGTTTTTAACAGGTTGTGTTTCATTAACTAATAGGCCTCGATCTGGCCTGTTGCACATCCCAAATAACACTTGCATAAATTAACTAAACCACTGCAGAAAGTAGAGTCTCAAACTGGAGAAATTCCCCTCTGCATTTAACCCATCCCTTTGGGGAGCTATGAGCTGCCACTGTGCGGCGCCTGGGGAGCAGTATGGGGTTAAGGATCTTGCCCATGAACCGTGAGTGGAGGATGTGGATTCTCACTGCTTTAACCACTCGGTCTTTACTCCCCAAGTAGTAGCCAATGTTGCAGATATTAGCTGGCGTAATCAACAGTGTTGAGTATTAAAAGAATATGTTTGACAGCCTTTCTAAGAGACCAAAAAAAAGATGTCCTCTTGCATACGTTGACGCAAATGGAAGCCGTTTTAATTCATTCCCACTGGCTCCATGGCAATGCCGCCATACCTATGCAAAATGCATTCATTTTAAAAACAAGATGATCCAAGAAAATAAATTATACACAGAAGGGTAAAGAAGATCAGTTAAGATTCAGCAAAGGGCTTTCAGGATCATGAGACGAAACCCTTATGCATGTAAAAGCAATGTTAGAGACAATTCTGTCTTGTGAGCAACATATTTACCACCGCTAACCTTTTGTTAGCATTAACAAACACCTAGAACCCTACGGACCCACCGGCGGGTCCAGCTGCTACGTGACCTCGTAATTTTACCAAACCCCTAGTATTGATGTAAAAAACATATTTGGCACAGTTTGGTGACATTTATGGATAAATGTGCCAAAATGGCCTCTCCGCCTAAGAAATTTCTCACTAATACCATTCTAAAATAAATATGATTCATCTGATTGAGTCCAAATTTGGTATATTTTTACACATTTAGATTTGAAAGTCTGTACTACTTTTTTGTGCTATAAATAATATTTTGGTAGTGTTTTGCAATGTTTATTTCAAAGAAAATTTTGGCGAGGTTCAAAAAATGCAAAATATTTTGTATTTTGTCCCTAATATTTCAGGCAGGGTCAAAGCTACAATGGTGCTGACACCAGAAAACCATTCTATGACATCTAACCTTTACAGACGTACCAAAAGTTTCTTCTTAAATCTAATAGCTTTGAGGCTATAAGTTATTTACTTTTGTGTGTTTTTGTCAGGCAGAAATTTATTTATACCCCCTTAGGGTGTAAGAGGTTAACTTACCTGTCTGGAAGGAAAGCAGCAACCCCTGTGTGGCTTCTGCCCCTTTGCATCTCTTAACCGCCACCAGTGCTGAAAAGCTTGCTAAACTCTTTGCAAAGTAAAGCATTTTTCTGTTATTACTTTGATCAATTCTGCATCTGATGTGTTTAAGAAAAAGTACGAGCTGTGATTTGACATAAGACACAAAAACAAGTTCAAATTGCTCCCATCTGCTTGACATAATAGGCTGCTCTCCATTTACAAGTATTAAGTGTAGAGAAAAGGCAAGCAGTTGTCGAAGCTGCTTGACTGTTTTGTGTCTGTGTTGCTGCATAATCATTCCCTTGTGTCAGGAAAACAGATTTTTGTGTCCTTGTTCTATTTCCAGAACTGTGGTAATATTGTTTCCCTCATACCTTTTTCATGCTTCTAACCTGCACATAAGTTCTACCCTTGAGGTGTCACCACTTGGTAATTTATTGCCAAAGATGCTGTGTTCATTCGATGCATTTGTATGACACCAGGTTGTTTTCATTTGTTATCTTGACTACTTCAACTAGAGCCAAGTTTCCCCATCTGGGAAAATGGAATGACTCAAATTAAATGAAAAGCAAATGGTAACTGATTGATTTGCCTCTATTTATATGCTTGTTTAATCAGCACAATCTGTGAATGCATTCATGAACTCCTTTAATATTTCTCTTCATTAGATTTTGTTAAATTGTATCCCTCCCCATCCTTTCTAAAAGTAGGGTCTTATTGTACATGAATATAGCAATTAATCTCAACTTTTAATGATCAGATCTATTAAAATGTTGATGCTAGATACAATTATCTGATCTAGGAAAGATGAACAGATGAGAAATACTTAAAGAAGGCAACTCTACAAGAGATTAGACAGTCTGTTTAAGCTGCCGACTGAACTGCTGCTCCAAGGAGGCTTTTTTGTCTCTTAGTGATGATGGACCTGCTGTTACACCTTTGCCTTCAGCGATATGGCTCAGAGAACATTGCTGTCATGGCATACTGCCGTCCACACTGACCGTCTGAGGGAGACTTGTAAGGTTACCTTGAAATGGCAAGGACCCGATGGACGAGATGACTTTTCCATGTATTGTAATAACAGGAAGACAGAGTGCACAGAGCCAGGTGTTCTCCGAAACAAATGGAACTTTGGATTGGGGTAATTGAACCGTCTCTCTTCCAATTATACAAACAAAACAGCATCTGCTAAATCTAACATAATTTTATAAATGACAGGCAAGCAATGACAAATGAATCTGTTTTAGATATCAAGACATCTGCTGTTCTTCAAGTCCGCATCAGGGTTTAAAGCAGCAGCTGTCTTTGGTTTTCTAACTTTTATTTCATCTTGCTAATAAGGGATTATTTCTAAGATTAAGAAGGTAATCATCCTCTTGTGCAAAGTATTTTAATATGTTTTGGTCTAACTTCTTTCTTACTTCTCTAAAGTTTTAAAACTTTGCTTTTTTTTTATAAATAAATGGCCAAAATGACCCAGTGCTTCCCGTCAAGGACCAGATTGCAGAAAAGGTTTGATGAAAAAAAAACACTGCATAAATAAAATAAATCAATCAGTGAAAATGGAGCAAAAGTTTGTCTAAAAGGCTTTTTATGCTAAATGGGACGGTTAGAAATCATATTGTGATTTCATAAAAACAAAACTCTTTTCAGGATTATGTTGGTTTTGAGCTGCCGTTTTTAAAGTCAAAATCGGGGACATGTTGGCTTTTGAGAAATGGTCTCATTAAAAGACTAACCAATTACAGATAAGAATGTCCTGTAACTGGGCGCTCGTTTAATTCTTGACTTTCCAGAGA